CGCGCCTCAAAGTTCAATATCTTTTCGAGGCCGTATTTGTGTTTCTCTGACCCGTTGCCGTAGACGGCAAGGCAGTAGCAAACGTGCGAGAGAACCATGGCCTTGGCCAAGCTAGACAGAAGTTCTGGCGGGACCTGTTGAAACACATGGAATAGCCCGATGAAGATACCGCTACGTTTTTTTTGGACATGGGCAGATACTTGAGAGACCCAGGTGAGGTGCTTGTTGAACACCATGCCAAGGTTCCTCACGCTACGCCCTCGGATCCCTACGCGCCACACCCTCGGATCCTTACGCGCCACGCCCTCGGATCCTTACGCGCCACGCCGTCGTGGAACTGAACAGCAACTGGAGTGATGCCTTGACGATTTTGATGGAAACCACAGATTACAAATTCCGCTTTACCGGGATTTACTTTCGGACCGACTGTGTGACCGACTGCATGTTCAAACTTTAGCTTGACTTCGTTCATGACTTTACTAACTTTAAATCAAGTTCAATGCAAAAGCTTTCAACGCTGGGCATATTTCCAACACGCGCTCTCTCCGGCATCCACTCGGTAAACGGTGTGTTCCGTCAAAAAAGCCTGGTACAGTCGAGCTTGGTTCGTTCGGGTGAAAATGTAAGTGTAAAAGAGAATGTAGAAAATGAGGAAAATGTGGAAAATGTGGACTGAGTCTGATGCCACTTCATTTTAATAACGTCACTAAATGTTTGGGGTTTGCTCATTTCAACAAAACCAAAGATGGCAACGAGAAAAACGCGGCAGATTTTCAGCTCTAGTGGAACGACATAACAGAACAGCAACTGTCATGATTTTGGAACGAATTTGATGCGGAAGGAAACGATCTGGCTTCAAATAAATTTCATTGAAATGCAAAGCAACACAAGAATTGTTTCGCCTTGTCCTGACGGTGTGACATGCGCGCGGAGCTCAACATACGCCCGGGTGGCTGATTGAATGGTTACAAGCTCGATAGATGTGTTTATGGGGGGGGGGGGGGGGCGGCGATTTGATCCCCTGAAATATAAAAAAACTAATACAGCTAGACACCACCATATTCACAGGGTAAGTAGGCCTCTAAATGAATTCACTTGTGTCAATTTTTTAAAGTGCATGATCGGTGCCGAAGTGCTCCAGACTGCCTCAAACAGCAGGCTTCAACCTTTATACTTTCTAAGCAAACGGTAACTCTGGGTACTATCCAGATCAGCGCTCTTGCTTGAACTTCAGAAGGTCAAAATTAACGAAGGCCTTCAAGGTTACTTTGATACATTATTTCACAAGTTGTGTTTAGAACTACTCTTAACATGTTCATCGAAGCAAAAGGTTAATAGAGACTATTTTAGGTCAGCGAGTTCCAGTGGCTTTTATTAAGTCAAAATAAGCAGCCCTGGTGACGTCCTCGTCAACAAAGAATACGAATTGAGCCAAAAAAACAGCATTTCAACAGCATTAACTCCCCAGCCCCCCCGAGCTCGTAGCTTCGCAAAACGAGTTCGGGGGGGGGGGGGGGGACCGAGCAGTGAAAACACCAACCTGTACCTACCTTCTATAGATTACGTTCTCACCCTAAATGCGACGACGAACGGGCTTTTCCCGGATTTGTCTCAATTTCTTCGCAAAGATGGGGAGATAAGGGAACCTGGAGCTCCCTCCAACAGAATCTGGAGCTATACCGTGCCACAAAGCAAGCTTCCCAATCAAAAGACTGTCTGGCTTTCAACTTGATCTGACCTTTGCCAAGTGCGATGGAACTAGTTGTAATCTGATTTCAGTTGCTGGCTTCTTTAGAGGACCATCTCAAAGTTAAATCGTCTAATGGTCCGGTGTATGTAGCGTCAGTTTGAAAGATCTCCTGAGAAATCTCTTTGCTGACAACCATAGCCTGACTTTTACCTACTGCAGGTCAGTAGTGATTATATTGGCAGTTCAGTTGTCTCATGCGTGTAAAGTTTGATGCGACTGCGCCGCGCCGTTCGGGATGATCCTGCAAGACATTTAGATTGGGGATTCATAGATTGTGAATCCACTTTTCTATCTATCTTAGCGATTCACTCGAACGCGTGTTAGCAAGCCAACGATTCACCATCATTCTCTCGCCGTTTTGTTATGTAACGGAAACATTTGAAAAGGCTGAGCGAATTGGTCGTACCCTCCATTGTCTCTAAACCCTGCTCTGCTCATCTGCTGATGGCGCACGCCAAACTCCTCCCGCCAACTCTTTTGTCTGATTTTTGTTGCAGTCTACTAGCTTAAAAGCCTCCATTAAAAGCAACTCCGCCGAATACCAGGCCCCACTTACAACGTCCAACATCGCGGATGCGACCCGAGAAACTCTGAGCGAAAAACAACGTTAATAAGCTTCACATTCACCAGCCACAATTTGCTTGATGACTTTGTTGGTGTAATCGTTTTAACTCCGCTAGCACATGTGTTTCTTTCGTTCGTTGTGTTGCAGTATCAGTTGTGGCGAAATATGCGATAGAGCGTGCTGTCCACGGGCTTTGAAATTGGCACCTCCATCCCGTGAGGTTTCATCCTCCAGAGGTGCGTCCCTGTCGCTTTATAATCCGTAAGTATTGTTTTTCTATGCAGGTATATACGCCAATGAAAAACAGGTCGGTATCACGAGTAGGCATGGGGTAGCTGCAAATGCAAGTGCAAATGTCCTATGGGATGGCTGCAAAGAGGGAGAGAAGGAGGCTTCCTGAGCCGGGCGTGTGGCCAGGATCTTTTTAGTGGCAAGGATAGAGCTCAGCGAGATGACATCAAACTAATTTTTGGATTTTTGTCAGGAACCACTTTTACCGTGAAAATGAAAAAATCGGTTCAGGGGGGACCGGGACGCCGCTCGCTGGCTGCGCCTGCGGCCTGGTCTCCGGAATCTAGAATGTGTGCACTTATACACTTCATACAGATCAAAAATCGAAATCGTACTTACCTACCGGCAAGTGCTAGCACACCCAGGCTTTAGACACATGTCAGGACTGGAAAGCTCAGAGCCCCCATCGATAGCTTCTATATCTTTTCGAGCTTCCATACTATTCCGAGCGTCCATATTATTCGCAGTTTTCATGTTACTCCGTTGTCTCATATTATGAAGAGCTTTCATATAAGAACATCAAAAGCTTTCATATCATTTTTGAACGAACCTAGCAGCAAGGCTTATACAAATGTTCTTTTTTCGTTCGCAGGAACCAAACAGCCAGAGCAGTCGGGCTTCCCGCCATTTCTGCAAACTTACGACCGGCCGTTCCAAAGCCAGCGTCATTTTCCAGCCAAGTGCCCTTTCCGGGGACTGCAGTGATTCAAACCGCATCCTATTTCACTTAATCTGCTACCTGCCCCAAACCGGCACCACCTCCATTCATTTTGCCTCGCGTCATTAGCATGTAAGTCGCTCCTAATGGCTCGGACCAGCGCCCCTGCGGCTTTCCGACTCTCAGTAATCG